AGATTAGAAGTTGCATTATTGGCCTTTAAACATATGGTGTAGCATATTATATATCACCTATAATCTCTGTTACAGCAGGAGTACAGAGAGCTTGTTTTCTACTAACTGTAAACAGAAATTACTTTAATCTTTTCTGAAATGTTTACATGTAACTGGAGAAGTGTCCAATAACAAACAAACAAAAAAAGCTGTTAGGATAAAGTTCAATAAACTATGATTACACAACAAAACACACTCTGTTATATTAAATTAATTAAAATGTAGATAGATTAATAATAATAAATTAAATTCCGCTGTAAACACAGAAAACAATAGTCCTGATACAAAATGGATGCATCTTCATTACTTTGTTATTCTTCCTGTTACATGTGTCTTAGGGTTTCACTGTTGATAAATATTAGTACTTTGTATCCTAGTTATTTTTTCAGAAGCATGTAACCTGATCTAAACTGTATAAAATTGGGCAGTACCTATTGTCAGTGTGTGGGGATCATTATGTATTCTTGTTCACTAGTTATGAACAGCTTACAAATACCACTCAGTTCATTCTCAGCTCTTTCAATACCATAGAACCAGAAGGATTCAAAAGGTTATTATTATGGTAGACACTCTACACATATACCAAAGTGGGAAGAGAAGGAATGCAGTAATTTCTTCTTTTAATATAATTATTTCCTGCTGAAGAGCCTGATCCTGCACTGCGTGTGGTTTCACACATACATTTATTTTTGAAAGAAAGATCCTACAGAAGATTCTCCATTAAATGTTTAATTACACATCTTTCAATAAGCCAGAGAGACTTGTCTTACTGAACAGTTTCTTTTTCAGATCTGTCACTTAGAATATGATGTGACTTTGGATTAAATTCGTAAAGGCTGTGACTTGTTTCCTCAGTTTGTAACAAAGAAAAAAATTCCTACCTACCTTGAACTGTCTCTGAATATGACTGTATGATTTTCTGACTCTCCTCAAAAGCACTGAAAACTAAGGGGAGGCTTTGCATGTAATTTTCATTATCAATACCTAACTTTCAAAATAAAAGGAACTTGGAATAAAAATAATGTGTCTTCACTGGTTGTATTTTTTTTAATCAAAGTCAGATTGGTCAACAATTCTTGAAAATATCTGTGCAGTTTTTCAAGGCTTCTAAGAAATGAAACAGCTTAATGCAGGTGCAGGCTACCTATGCTGCCCTCTATTTATGCTGTTAGGAATATGATTTTTGTAAGCAACATGCAAAAATATAAACTTGTATGATTCCTGTTAACAATTAGTTCATAGGAACAATAAATGAGTGTTTGCCTGGAAAGCATTTTTAGAGGTAAAGCTGAATTTTTATTGTACAACAAAAGAGTGGTGTTAAATACAAAATCTTAGTCTCCACTATTTCTCTGTTAAATTTATCTGGGAGAAATCCAGATTTCTTAATCTTCAAAGAAGTTCTGTCGTCATTTTTGCAGCAATGTTGTTGTATCTAATTTCCAATATCAATGTTTTCATTATGAGTCATAGTTTTTGTTTTAATTAGTACATTCTCATGTATTAAAAAAGCAGTTTACAGTCATTCTCACCTGAAATGCTTTTTAGATGTGTTAAAAATTTGTTTGTTTACATATCTGTAATTTTATTTAATGGGATCCAAAGAAATGGAGGACAGCCTGCATCAAAAACATGAGAAACTCTTCCAAACACGATGGGCCTTCCATCTGGGTCCATCACAGAGCCAACAGATTATGTGATTTTCAGAGGCTGACCCATCCATTGTGCTTTGTAGGGCTGCTGTAGCAGTCATCTTTATGGCAGAGTTGGGAGTTCACTTTGAGAATGCCTTGTAACAAATGGGTTGCAGTCATAAATCACATTCACTTTGTCACTTTAGTTTTTCATGAGAGCTTTGACCAAGAATTTTTTGAGAGTTTGTGGGCCACTCGAAGGAGCATATCTTTTCACTGGGTTGCTCTACCTGAACTAATTTCCAATACATTGAGAGATTTATATGAAAAAGAGTCAGAGATTGCCTCTCTACTACATTTTTGTGAAATCAGATTGGAAATCTTCAAAACCGCAGACATTAAACAAAGGAAATATACCTAGTGCACATAATTGACCATAAAATAGCAGGTTTGGGATAATCTTCCAAACCAGATAGCACAGTAGCACTATGGCAGTAAGAAGTAAAGTACAGTCTGGTGTATCACTGAAGGCTATGAAATGTACCAATTTATATTATCCAGTGACAATTAGAGAAATATTTTTGCTTAATATGTTTTACTGATGTGAAATTCATGCAGTTTTCAAAATGTCTTGTCCTTTATCTGTTGGAAAGAATATATGTATCAGATATGATACACACATATGGATCATCGGATAAAATTCTTTTAAAGGCAATATTATCTACATAAATCTGTATTTTTACTAATGATCTTGGCTGCCAGGTTTTTTCATTCTTCTGTCTGTCATCCTGAAAAGCAAGTATATTAGGTTCTCTACTTTAGCTTATTCACCTTAAAAGTGACTGTTGAAAATTACAAGAAAAACAAATTTTGAGAGAAAAACTGTTAGAGTGTGCTGCAAAGCAGGCATCTCCAAGAGTAAGAGCACGTACAGTCAGGGAGATTCAGAGCAGATACTACAAAAGCCAGAAAAATATGCATGATGAAGGGGAATCTGTATTTCAGACTGAGGAATAAAGGACTCTTGTGGCAGCACGAGTCTTGCTAAGCATCTTACTGGCTAGATTCTTTAGCACAGACTATGAACAAATCAGAGCCACTTACAGAGTTAAGTTGATTTCCACTCTCTTTAGATCAAAACTTTTACTTGTGTGTTTGAAAATACACAAACCAGGAAAGACAGAGGGAATGTAAAGGTAAGAGAAGTGGTGTACAACACCCTCACATTTTGTTATATTTTATAGTAGTAAGCATGTAAGTGTTAGAAAAATTCTTGCAGGGTTTAAAGGTTAAAGGTAATGGTTTAATTGAGAAAGTATCTCTCTGCCTTCTCATATCTGTGTGACGTGGTAGTTGAGTAGAATCACTGAGGTGAAATTGTTACAAGAAGGCAAGTTCAGGTCTCACATAAACAAAGGAAATTTTGATCACTTCAGAGGGAACTGAATACTGACTCCAGTTAATGAATTTGTGCTCTTGCATCCCAAAGTTGTAAAAACCTGTTTGTCTTGCCTGTGGGACTAACTAAACTTAAAATAAAACATTATTGTATAGAGAAGTGGTGTTTCCAATGCTACAAAACTTCTAGGTATCATAAAGTGTAATAACCAGCATTAACCATCAGAAAGTTAGGTGTTTATTCAAGTGAATCTGCACTCAATGGAGAGAGACGGGTGAACCGAGAGTGGGGTTAGTTCCATGCTAAAATAGATGCCTAAACAATCAGATAAACTTGGCTCAGGATTTCTTTATTCTGTTGACTATGGAAGGAGTACAGTGATAGCTGAGCTTAAATTCCTTCCCACAAGTGTCTGATTCTGAGTGGAAATCTGGTTTGTCTTCTCCACTTGTATTTTAGAGTAAGACCTTCAGAATTTTATTCTTAAAATTCACTTGTTGTTTGCAAAAGTTTATCAGACTTTTTAGTAATGACTGGTACGTTTACTTTGTCTCTTCATTAATCAGTGTTTTAAAACCATCGCTTATGCTGTAATGAATCATGTGGAAAGTGGTATTCTGTGTAATATTAGATGAAGTAATTTCTTTTAAAAGTAAACTTCAGCAGATTTGTATTTCTTTTTTCTTCTAAGTGTTACATTTATCCAAAGTCTTTCAGGGTAGATTCAAGTAATAGAAACATTAGAAGAGTTTTTCGTCTTAAGATTGGCTCATGTTTTAATTTATTAATAATAATATTATTTTTGCTGATTTACAGAAGACTGGAATGTCTCACAACATCTCACAAAGCAGTATTTATATTCCAGCTTGCTATTATATACAGAAAAAACATTTGAATTTTCCTAGACAAGCAAGTGGCTGCTTTTTCACGAGTGGAAAACCTGACCTGCTGACAGCTGTTTGACTGTGTCCTGGTTAGCTGGAGTGATGGTCTCACACTGTGTGTCTGCCACAGCCGCTCGACACACACTTTGGGCTCTTCCACAGGGCTTTTCTCTTACATACAGAACTGCACGTACTTGCTGTGTCTTTCCAGCTCTCACATATATTCCGGAGAACATGTGTGTATGTGGATGTTTATGCATATGCAGAAACTTGATCTCAGTGTGTAACAAGTGGAAAATAAAGCCATGTCCAAAACAGCACCTACACAAAAATGCATTCTTGAGTTTAGAGGACAAGCTAATAATCTCATGCCAAGGCTTCCCAAGTTTCAGTGTTCAGTTAGGAGTGACTGAGAACCCAGTTCTCTCTGCAGAGACTGGGTGACTGAGGTGGCAACCTTTGCTCTGTACTCCAATATGTCCATGACATTTTTATTCCTGTATAAGTCAGACCTCCTTAAAAGACTAGCTGAGCAAGAAGGTTTTTCTTCTACTGAAGAGTTGTATTATGCAAAAATTTTTTTAGGCTAAGTGTCTTTATTGTGGAAAACATTTACTGTTTTAAGATACTTATTTTGTTGTCTGTTTTAGTCATATCCTTTGAAACAGTCTCAATAGATTTTTCTATTTGTAATATTATGACATTTGATAAGATGATTGATTATGAAGTGTTGAGAGCTCTGCCATGTGATCATTTATTTTTAAATACACATTTGTACTAGCCAGTGCTTAAATTTCTTGCAGGAATACATGAGAGATGAAAAACATAAAGCTTGAGTCTGATCGAATCTGGTGCTTCTGGAAATAGAGTGCCACAGTTCTGTGGCCTTAAAATAACAGATTCTGACTGAAACTGGAACTTTGCAGTGATAAATACTATGTAAAAGTTATGGTCCATCTTTGGTACAAAATAAAAAATATCTACAACTGTGGTGTAGGCAAAGTAAAATGTGTTTGACGATGACATCTTTCTTTCCCTGTGCAGGTGCCTGTGTCAGTGGCCATGATGACTCCCCAGGTGATCACCCCTCAGCAAATGCAGCAGATTCTCCAGCAGCAAGTGTTGTCTCCGCAGCAGCTTCAAGCACTTCTCCAGCAGCAGCAAGCAGTTATGTTGCAGCAGGTAATGTGGGTTACCTGCTTTGGACTGTTAGCACAGGGCATTCACACAATTGTCAACCAGATTTTATGGGTCTTACTATGTAATATTTCCTTGTTCATTACACCAAAAAAGAATGAAAATAAATGCAAAGCTTCTCAGTCTTTAAATTTCTTGTTTCAATTGCAGAAGTGTGAAATTGTATTTTGAAATATTAAATATTATATTAAAAACAGCAGCAGCAGTGGCAGATGCATTAAAAATACCAAACAAATTGATATTCAAATTTTCAAGTGCTTAGGCACATTTTAATTGTAGACCTGCCAAAGGAAGTGAAAATAGAGTTGCAGATAATTGTTGCTTTAAAATTCATAACACTGTAGTGCTCCCTTTAGTCACATAAATGGATGCGGTTATGAAATTTGAACATAACAGCTTGTTCATCAGGGGAAACATTGTTTTATTTTAATTTTTTTTCGTACAAAAAATTGGTACCAGATAAGGCTCAAAAGAGGAAGGAGGTTGCTGTTTCCTTAGTACAAAATCTGTCAGTTAGGTGAAAAATGCATGAACTTGTTATTCATACAGTAATGATAGTGTCAATGATCATGCCTCGGTGTAACGCAGAGTGAATTTTTGGGTGCATGCTTAATTGTCATACAGAAAATTATGTGTCTGTTTGTCATAGTCATAGCTCAATCACTGAACTGTATGTTTAAACATTTTAATATCCAGTACCATGATCATTACAGGCAATTCACCTTCAGTTGTGAATCCAGCATCCTGCTAAGCAGATTGACAGATTAATTACTTTTTTCCCCTCAGAAGCAGACAGTTTTGTTTGGCCTTAGTGACTTGTAGGTTTCTTGCAAGTGGATGAGTGCAGCTTCTGATGTGTTACATAGGACATGTGAGGAACTTAGGTATAGTTATTTGAGGAGTTAATTTGGCTCTTGCATTCCCTTTAGAATACAGATTTTCTATACCCTTCTGTTTAGGATATTTTGGAATCTGCATTGGAAAATTTCAGAACCGCCTTGGAAAAAAATGTATGTAGATCTGCCTCTTCAAGTCACATTTTTTTTGTTATGAGGTGATTCTTAATGGCTACTCTACCATATGCCAATCTAGAAGAGTTTAGGAGATTTATAATACTTGAAACTTTTGCCTTTATTTATTAAAGTCAAAATGGTTTATTCAGCAACAACTACAAGAGTTTTACAAGAAACAGCAAGAGCAGTTACATCTTCAGCTTTTGCAGCAGCAGCAGCAACAGCAGCAGCAGCAGCAACAACAGCAGCAACAACAGCAACAGCAGCAGCAGCAGCAACAGCAACAACAGCAGCAGCAGCAGCAGCAACAACAGCAGCAACAGCATCCAGGAAAGCAAGCAAAAGAGGTAGGAGCTAAGACCCTTGCTGATGCATACTAGTCTGAGCTGTCAGAAGCTTGGAAAAGACAAGATCAGTTTAGATCTTTTCCTTTGCAACTATCAAAGATTTGTTCCTATGTTTTTACTGGGCTTAATAGCAGGGCTGGTATAATTCTCCTGCTCCCCTTTCTGAGACACAGGATTTGAGCAGTCTAGTGCTGCTGTCGTCTAATGTTCGCTAATGAATCCGAGTGTGCAAAGAACAAGCTGTGTGGTGGACTCCGTACTGATTATCTTGCATTTACAGGCAATCTGTGTTGGAGAAGGAGCCTTACTTTGCTCAGTGGCACAGCTCAGAGAGCATGCAAATTTAGTCCATGGCTGAAAAAGAGCGACTGAGCACAGATTTCAAAGTCACAGGCCCCTGATTAATGAACTGCTACTGTAGGTTTGAAGTGGCGAGTGGAAAGTTACAGTTTGATGTACTCATAAATCAACCTGACAAGTGGGTTTCTCAGGCCTAGCTTGCACTTGTCAGCAAACTGCATCAAATATAAACATAATACAAACAAAACACGTTGAAGTAGTTAAATTGATCAGCAGGTATCCTAGACGTTGTCTTCAAGCTGCCTATTATGCAAACGTCTAGGAAGCAGTTGTGACCTCCTGAGGCTTTGTTTCTGTTTGGATTTGTGAATAGAATTTCAGACAGCCATCAACTACAGAATAGAAATTGCTCCCTTATTTCTCCGGAGGCTCTGGGCAATCCACATGACTTGCTCCATTATGCAGTCTGTTTTCCAGTGAGTGCATCAGAAGTTTCTCTTTTCCCTAAACTAGAAAGGAAAGGTCTTCCACAGCAGCTTGTCTTTTTCTGAAGTGTGACTGCCTTCTCATACCCTCCTGAGTCTTTGTAGACTCAAGTTTGTCTTGAAATGCCTCACAAAATTGGAACCTATACTTTTGCTCCATAATAGGGCACTTCATTGCCTTGAATGCCATGCTCCTTGTAATATATTCCAACAAGAAAAGGGAGCAAGCTAACAGGCCAGTGAAAGGAAGGCTACATCCCAGTTTACTAACAGATCACTGGAGACCATGTTCATGGGCCACTGCCAACCAAACTTAGTCAACTGGAAAAACAAGAGTGCTTTCAAATCACAGGCTGCTGTTAAAAGTTACACTTTTAGCATAGATAAATTTGTTATCATCTTCCATGAGCTGAGCTTTTTTTTTTGTTTGAATTAGTTGTTATATACTTTCTCTTGACCCTTTTCTTTAGCGTGTCATTAAGTGTATGTTGCCATTTTCCCTAACACCTAATAGCTTGAATGAGTATAATAGAAAATTTCAAATGCTTTCACTACCTGAGTATTCTACAAATAGCATTATTATTTAATAACTTAGATTAAAGAGAAAGAAGTTGATTTTATGGTTTTGGGTTTCTAGCCTTTACTATACACTTTACTTTTTCTGCTGCATTTCCTTTTTCTCTTTCTTTGTAGCAGCAGCAGCAGCAGCAGTTGGCAGCGCAGCAGCTTGTCTTCCAGCAGCAGCTCCTCCAGATGCAACAACTTCAGCAGCAGCAACATCTGCTGAACCTTCAGCGTCAGGGACTCATTTCTATCCCGCCTGGCCAGTCTGCTCTTCCCGTCCAGTCTCTGCCACAAGGTATTTGAATAATATGTGATTGGAGTAATTTATAAATTCACAACTTTTTAACCATTCTATTTGCATCTGAACTTCAGAAGTTTCCTGTTATGACACTTAAACATACTTTGTAATTGAAACTTTATGATATTACCAAATTTTCTGGAAGCTGATAAATTTTGCAGCATACTTTTATGAAGAAAAGCAGCTTTTTAGTGTTTTTTTTCAGATGGAAGGTGCATATTTATTGACCTTATATGCTGAAAATAATTTCTAATAGCATCACAATTCAAGAATTTTTACTTTTCTCTGGAATCACTGAAATGTGATTTTGTGGAATACAAGCAGATATAAAATACTTCAGACAGTGATATTAAAGCCATTCAAAAAAAAAGTTTTTTTTCTTTTTCTTGCAAGAAGGTAAAGTGTCTGGCATTGAAAAGCACTTTGAATCTTCAATTTATGACAAGAGAATTTAGGGACAAGCCTTAGCATTCATTTTCTTTGCTATTCCTTTGTATGAAATAGGTTAAATATGACAACAAGTTTTGAAGATGGTGATTCCAATAGCAATGAACTATGACTGACAAATAACAGTAAAGACTTTCTGAAAAAAAAAAAATTCCTTTTTCACTTTGATCAGGATTTCTCAGTGATGAAAATGAGCTCAAACTGTACTGCCTGAAAGAAAATAGGGCACACACTTTTGAAAAGTAAATTAACTTGGAGATAAATGCTGCTTACATTTTAAGATAAAGTCAAAGTCTTCCCATCTAAGGACTCTGTCTATAACCTGCAATGTATGTGTTTCTGTTTGTTTTACCATAGAGAGTTGAGCTAAATGCCTGTCATAAAAATTACACAATAATCTGATCTCTGGTGCCCCAGTCCTGAAATGAGCATTGTTTAGACTGTGTTCATGACAGGTAACATTATTTTTAATTGGTCTTTATGCATGTAATTAGCTCCTTCACCAGATAACTATTATGAAATCGAAGCTTCAGAAATAGATGAGCAAAAGCAGAGTACTCACTATATAGAAAACAGGGTACACAAAAAAAACCAAAACAATCATACCAAACCAAAACAAGCAAACAAAACAAAACAAAAAACCAAACCAACAAACAAAAACCACACACACCAGAAAATCAGAGATTCCAAATAAATGTGTTAATTTCATACCTTGTGTTGTGTGAAAAAGCTATGACACAAGCATATCCACAGTCATAAAAACCATGATGAAAAAGAATCCTATTACACTAAATATTCTTTTATGTGAATAGCAGTGGGGAGATAAGTTGGTTCATGTATTTGGACATGTGAGACTGGTAATGCTGGTTTCTTTTTGCACAAAGTCACACTAGACCTGAATGGAAAAAAGCAATTGAAACACAACCTCCCTCCGAACAGCTTTACCTTTGCAATCTCCTCTTGTGCCATCTGTTGCAAGAGGAATTCCTCAGGTTTTCTCTCACATTAAACAATCCCCACAGATTTCCCTCTGCACTCCTACCCAATTGCACTGATATTCATTAGTTTAATGCAACACTCATTCATCCACTTCTAGAATAAAAACACAGAAAAAATAATAGCTTTTAAAATAGTTTTTAGGAGAACTAGTAAACAGTTCTTTTTAGGAGCTTTCTTTTACTCAAAGAATTAAGTCCAACTGAAGTCATGATAAAAAAAGATTTAGAGTAAAGAAAGAAGAAATAATGAAATATTTTGCAGTTAATATAAATATGGATTGTTGTTGTTAAAGTAAATTAATCTATTTTTTTCTTTTGCCTTGATAGTTTTTAGTTATAATGAATCCTAGACAAGTATTTAATTCTTCCATTTTTAAATTAAACTTTAGAATTGAATGAAGATAATACACACTAGATGTGGTAAAAGGATGTTTTTCTCCATCTGTTGTGCTGCAAAAGATAAAATGTGTAACACAAATATTTTTATATGCATCCATTCAGATTGCTGAGTTATGTGGATGACTAGAACAATGAAAGTAACACACAAGGATTCAAGTTTATAAGTTATTGGTCATAAACAGTCCCATAAACCACAAATTACTATGGGCAAAGAGAGCATGGGGTTTTTATCTGTTAGTGTTAAAAGGTGTAACCTAAAAGTACACCTGTTAGGTTTGCAGGAATAAACAGTATTTTCTTCAAGTATAGCTCCTGCCTTTAAAGAACAGGAATGTTTACCATGTTTTCTTGGTGGCCAAGTATCGCAAATAAGATGCAATAGGTGTTTTAGCATCTATTTTGTGACAAGACCTTCACTATGCGGTATCCAAAAGCAGTGGCTTGCTTTGAGTTGCTTACATGTATTGCTGCATTGATGCTAGTTAAATGCAAAGAATTTTAAATCACAGCAATAAAAAACCCCAAACAAACCAACCAAACAAAAAGCCCCCAGACCCCAAGCTTTGACTGGTCCATGTTGGGAAATGAAAACCAATTGCGTGGATGGCTTTTATAAGTGATAGATTTATTAAGCATTTATTCAAACGTAAAAATAGAGTAGATAGAGGTGAAAAGAGTTATGAAACTAACCTCAAAATTACCAAATTCTTATTATTTGTAAATTTCATAGCAAATCAGTATTTGCCCTTTTCATTATAGTCCCTAACTTTTATTCCACTCTGGGTCCTCTTTTTGATCCTTTCCTCTGTAATGTAGTTTGATATTTTAAAGGTTGTCATAACCTATGAAACTTTAAAATTTACCTACTTTCACATCCAGACTGAAATATCTGTCAACCATTTTATAGGTAAAATGTACAAGTCTCTTGTAAAAAGAGACTTGGACTTTCTTAGACATAGAAACCACAAAATTGCCATAATTTACCATTAATTACAATCTGTTTATTAACTTTATACATTTTAAATACCTGCCCTTAATCCTTTTATCCTAAAAGGCAGCCTTTCAGGGTGCTCTGAAGAAGTGATAAAATTAACCAGCCTGAGCCTAGTCAGAAATTTCTTTCTGATAAAAAAAAAAATAAATATCATGGGGAGCTTGGCAGCCTGGAGGCACAGCTCCATCCATAGCTTCCTTCAGTGGAAGGGGCTGCCCAACAGGTGCCCAGAGGGGCAGGAGACCCCTGCCCATGAGACAGGCCATTGCTCCAGCTGCCTCTGGCCCTCCTACATTCACCCAGCTTATGAGGCGACTCTTTCTCAGCTCTCCCAGCACCCCAGGTTTTACAATCTTCAGTGAAATTTCTTTCTGTTGTGTCTGCAAGACACGATATGTTTGCCCTCTGATTATCCAAACAGGTGGGTTTATTCTTGGTTTTAATTTTTTTTCAGTTCAAAATTAGTTTATTTTGTTCAACAGCAGAAGGAAAGGAAGACTTTGAAGTAAATAATGTACTGTGTATATCATGCCACCTAAATGAATACATTACTTTTCATTTTGATTTGTGATTACATTTGCAGATAACTGTTATTTACTATACTAAAATGGTTTATTTGCAGTGTTGCTGGAACATACCTCATGAACTCAGCAGTAATTTCTTACCTTCATTAAACAATTACAACTAGTATTACCATCAATCCCGTTACCCATCTCTCTAATGCAGTAAATTAAAGCCTGGCTTCTTTGCTTGATTCCTTAAAACCTAGCTTTTCACTATACAAATATGATATAAACTCCAGTTTTAGGACTTACATTCCAATCAACTCTTTTTTCCTTTGCCGTTAGCAGAGTTTGCCCATGGTTGGTATCTAAGGTATTGAAGCAGGACACAAAGCAGTAGTCTAAAAATGAGCTGCTTTCACATTAAAAAAAAAAATTAATCCCCTCCAACCACTTTGTTTCCACACTACCTCTAGAAATTATTTCTGTAAATAACTACTAGTCTATTTTTTTACAGCTTTCTATACTTCATGGTGACACAGCTACTAAGAAGTATTACTGTGCTTTTTCATAATTTTTTGTTCAATCTGTTTTAGTAGTCTGAGTTCATATGTTCTCAAAATAAAACATTATCTAATAAAGAGATTTGCCAAACAGTGAAAAACAGTCTTTATGTCTGTCTACTATATCTTGTTTACCAAACAAAAATATACTCAGGGATTAGTTTGAATGGATATATACTTTCTAGTACTTTTCAAAACCAGAAATTTGAGCTCTTTTGTAAAATAAAAAGAGCATAATTTTGATTCAGACTGCATCTGCATTTTGAATGTTTTGCATTCCACCAGATCTAGATACCATGAGCATGTCTTACCTAATTTGAGTTGAGATGAGATACAGAAGACAGTATTAGATTTTAAGATACCTCTTGACCAAACTCTGTCAGGCTGAAAAACCTGGCTGTGAAATCAGATCTTTCCCAAGAAACTCTCTGGGTTTCACATTCTTTTTTGCATTTAATTTACTATTCTTCAAAAGAGAGATGTCAAACTTACAAAGTCTGGCAGTGACATAAGGTGTATATATTTCTGATGAACTCTTCATCTTTCAAAATCTGAATTTCCTATCTTAACTGCATGTTTGTGGCAAGATAAGAGAATGCTCACAGCCCTTCTCTTGCCTGTGTTTTGGCAGTCTTTACTTCAGGCAGAAACATATTGTACTGGAGGTTTCCATGACTTCATGAAAACTCGAGCCAGACAGCCCTAACACATATGTATGAATACTTTCAACAAGACATTGCTGTTTGTGGCCTAGGATGAATCCTGGAAACTACAAATTTCCAGGCTGCAAGTGAAGTAGAGAGCAAGTTTAAGCTCTATCTGCATAGATCTGGTGGCTAGACTCCAGAATAGTACTGTGCATATAGCAGAGAAGTTTGAGGAGCTCTTCAAATTTTGTGTGGCTACCCATCACCCCAGAAGACTGGCAAGACAGTCTCCTTTCTCCTATCCAAATCCTCTGATTTGTTTTCTACAGTAGAGCTGGATAAAGAAATATAGTGGAGAAATTTGATGGTCTACACTACATGTAATTTCACTGCCTGTGTTGAGAGAGTTGTAAATGGGCCAATTTTGCTAATAACTCCAAGGTCGTGAGTTTGATTCCCATATAGGCCATGCACTTAAGAATTGGACTCAGTGATTCTTGTGGGTCCCTTCCAACTCAGAATATTCTGTAAAATCTGTGAATTCCAAGTGCTGCTAGCTTTCTAGTTGGCTGGTACTGAAAAACTCAAGTCGTCACAAGTATGTAGCTCAGCACTGTAGTTGTTGTTGGTTTTGTTCTTCTAAACAGTGTCTTTGGGTTTGCCTCTTAGGATGTATTTTTAAATGGAATATTTTTTGTAAATATTACAAAGAACTAGTGAATACGTGAGTGTCATTAATTAAGGTCAGATACATTCTAATAAAATGTTAAACCTGTTGTGATCTCATAGATTATTTAATTTTTCTCTTCTGATTTTCCTCCCTCCAGTCTTCTTCCCCTTTATCCAGCTCTTGTTAAGTGTTTAAGAGATTATCAGTGTTTGTATGCTTGGTGTAATATGTTTTTCTGGTTTCCATTATATGTTTGATTAAGAAGAATTATAAAACCTAAGTTAACTGTAGATGTATTGAGTTACATTTGCATGTCAAGAAATTGAGTAAGCAGACAACAAAAATCTTGTTTGAAGTAAATTTAGGGTTGGGGTTTTTTTTAAGAGGTAGTTGCAAGTTCTTTGCAGCTTTCACTCTTTGATCCTTGTTTTCAGAAGAAGTGTAAAATTGATGATTTTTAATTGACTGTTTACAACACAAGACAGGATAGTTAGATTACCTGAATTCTAACTGAAGACGAATTTATGTTTTACTACATGTCAATTGTGCTGGAAAAACAGCATCAGCTTTATTGTTGGCATTAATCCATTAATAACACTGAGCTCATTATATGAAACTCTTTACTTTGTTATATTAGTGGGGCTCTCTTTCATTTTATAGCTGGCTTAAGTCCTGCTGAGATTCAGCAGTTATGGAAAGAAGTGACTGGAGTTCACAGTATGGAAGACAATGGCATTAAACACGGAGGGCTAGACCTCACTACTAACAATTCCTCCTCTACTACCTCCTCCACCACTTCCAAAGCATCACCACCAATAACTCATCATTCCATAGTGAATGGACAGTCTTCAGTTCTAAATGCAAGGCGAGACAGGTAATTCTGATGAGATTTCAACTGTACTTCTCATTTGACATAAAGCTGTTGTATAACATCATAAGTCACATTATTTCCAATCACAAAACAACGCTTAATACAGGTTACTTAAGAGACCGTGGAGACCTGATTTTTCAGAATTGTTTATCAATATGGCATAAATTTCAATAACAATATCTAATTGTGCAGACACAACAAAATTACCCACCTGTGGTTTTAGAACACCTGAACTTAAATCACAGAATCGAGTGGACTGGTGCTGAGTTGTAAATGCACATTTGCAGGCACAATTTTGTAAGGTGCATAGTTTCATTCATATTTGAGTTAACACACCTAGCAGTCAGGCCCGTACTGTTGAATCACACTCCTGGTTTCATTGAAAATGTACATCTATATGAGTTTTCAGGACTGTAATTCAGTGCAAAGATTCTATGTTAAAAGTGCTTCAAAAAAGTATATTAAAGAACTTCTCGTTTGGTGCTTGTGAAAAGAACTACTGCTTTTTCCTTCTTTTGTGCATGACAGTAACACAGTTGACATATTTCATACAAATTTTCTGTGGTGTTAATGTGGAATTCCACTATATGGATAAGTTAAAATCATTTTTCAGACATATTGACAGATATTCTTCATTGTTCCTTAATTTCAAGTAATGGATTAAATGCATACAAGAGTACATAGTATCGGTAGCACTTATCAGTGAATATATTAGTGTAGTCAGATGTAGATGATCTTAATATAAGATGAAATTTAATTTATATAATGACTAAATTTTTTCAAATAAATATTCCATTTAATTATTTTAATTATTAAATTATGAGACTATGATTGAAATGTCTCTTGTCCTCATGTGACTGTGAGAACATTTTTCCATCATTATTTTGTATTAATTAAAAATCTGAATGCATTTATAGTAGTACTTTTAGTTAGTAGTACTTTTGTGGTTATATCTCACAGAATGTTTCTTTGCTTCAGGATGCGTAGCTGACGCCCACATATGCAGAACAATTCCCTGAATTTCTTTGATAACTTATCATGGATGAAACTATTGCAGAGGTTCCAAAAAAAGATACAGAATACAGCTAGGGATTTTTATGAAGCCAAATAGCTAATGGAAGCAATGTTTTGAATAAAAATATTTATTAATGGAATCAACTTTATTTTTATACACATTTAAGTAGAATATTCAAATAGTTTTTGAACATTCACAATATTCATAAATTCTGACTGTCGGTCTTCAGTATTTCTTCTCAGAATTGATCACTTGTGAGTGTATTTTTTATTTATAGGTAAATGTTACACCAAGGTCATATGGCATAATTAGCATATGGTATTATACAGTCATCTTGTTTTTTCGTCCTTTATTAACAGTCATCTTTGGCTCTATTTCTTCTCTAATTGGAACATCATCTAGCCTTGGCAGTTGAACTATTCAATAGAACGATTAAATTTTTCTGACTGCTCTGAGCTAAATTGACCTGTTTTGACCTGTTTGTCACTGATCGTAACCTGACAGGCGCTAGCAGCCTCCAACGATTATGGCTTTTGAGATGAATCTGATGCCTTATTCTTTTGCTACAGCTCGTCACATGAGGAGACTGGGGCCTCACATACTCTCTATGGTCATGGAGTTTGCAAATGGCCTGGCTGTGAAAGTGTTTGTGAAGATTTTGGACAATTTTTAAAGTAGGTGGATTTTTATTCGTTACTACAGAATTGTTTAAGGCCAGGGAGATAGAAAGATGGCAAACAAAGTTTTACTGTAAACCATAGCAGAGATATTTTTTTGTGTATTTCAAGCAACTGGATAATCGAGACTATTGGCAGAGGGTCAAATTGTTATCCTTTCTTTCATGTCGAACACTTTTGCAGGCCTTTCAGTAGCACAGTGTTTAATCCTCTTATTATCTTTTACTGAAATGGAGCCTCTGAAAATTTGAAGAAATGCTTTAGATTTTATATTGGATAGCAGGAGTATGAAAAAGCACATCCTAAACTCTGATAGCTTGTGCAAAGTGGGAATTAATGTGTGTAGTATAAATAAAAAAGCACAAGGGGCTAAGCATGACCATTTAACTCTCACTTGCTAATCTATTTTTGTTTTTATTCTTGTTTGTGCGCAATATACATAGGGAAAAAACCACTATGAACAGGTGGGTTTGCACCTTTCAGGACTGAATAGTGATGTCAAAAGTTTTCATCTTTCAGCATTTGTTTTAGGCAGTTATCATCTAAATCACAACATTTAGAAAATAAAATACACAGCTCTTTCTTTTCATCTACAACTTCAAACTGCAATGGGTTTCTGCATTTTTTCCTTTTTTTAATTTTAAAGTATTTACTAGTATTTCTGTGTTCATTTGAATTTTCAACAACAGCACTGATTTTCTACCCATGTACATTATGGACTGGTCTTTGTTAGAAGAGCCATACTCATTTGGCATGCAATAGATCTTAATGGAAAGCTACAGATAGGCTTATATAGATGAGTAACTTCAGGGGCTGAGACTCTTATGTTGTCATGGTGCAGCTAACAGGGTGAATGAACTGTTTCATGCTTCATCAACAATTAAGTTAATTAGCTCATTTGAAATTGCACTGCTTTGTTGCCAGGATGTTGGCAGAAACATCAAAAAGATGTGTTTACAAATGGTAAACTACAGGGTATATTACAGAAGCACCTTAACAGCAGACCATAAGCAGTCAGTATAACAATAACTTTTATAATAGAATTACAGCAATACTATTCATAAAGTATTTGCAATGCTTTCTCCATCTTTCACTTTTAAATGAAGTAACCTATACTGACTTGCAAGTCTTAGGTAGGTATCACTCTTGATAAATTTTTGTTTATTAGCGCATTAAGTGGAATGTCAAAACAATGGCTTATTATGGGATAAAACTGTATAGGATTTAAAAGAACCTGATTTACATAAGTTTGTATTTAAAAGAAAATGAAATCTCCTAAATTCAATGCAGTGTTCTAAGTATTATTAATACTAAGAATTTAAATGCATTTAGCTTAAGCATTCTCCTTTTCAAGAAAAACTATATTTTTCTAAATACATCCATCTATGTAGGCTATAGTGATGCTAATTCTGTGGGCAGACTTTGCACATCCATTATGTCAGGTCTCCTGTTATAATCCATGATCACTAAAACCATTTTGATTAAGGCAGTGTAGTGCTAGGTTTACAAATGTTCTTGCTTTCCTGAACCAAATAACCCTGGAAATTGTGAAAGTG